CCGTATATTTTTCAGATTTTGTGTGGCACCAGCTTACCGAATATGGTATGAGAATAGAACTATCCGGGATAGTTAATTCAAATAATGAAAGATATTTTACTAATTTGCGTATCAACAAGTATGTCAGGTCGTGCTAAAAATCTGATACAATTTTTCCCATCTTAGTTAGTGAAGTAACACATTAAAAAAAATATAATAATATATAGTCTCTTTTCTGGTCTGAATGGATTGTCTTTCCACAAATGTAGCCTTATGCTGGCAAAAAAAAAAGGGCCTGAAGGAACAAAGATATCATGGGCCTAGTGATTCTAAATGTGTGTGTGTTTTTTTTATAAAAATTCTCCATGATCCAAAAAGATACTAGAGAGAATTTCATAGTTTCCTTGATATTTGTTGCATCATATTAGGCATTTAGTTTTTTTTTTTGTTTTGGTCGACAAGAGTAATTTGAAAGAAAGGAGAGACAATGAGTCCAAATTAGTAAGTAGGACAAACCAGAACAAACCATTCACTTAAAATTTAAAAAACAACACCCCAGGGGTCACGCATTCTTGGGCTTCTTGACCTTGTTATCGTTCAAGGGATCCTCTTGTTCAGCTCTCTTCCTGTTCCATTTCTTGACTTGTGTTGGGTTGATCCTTTTCTTGACTCGTGTTGAGTTGATAGACAATTGGAGCCTCTTTCTCAGAGGAAAAAGCTCCTGGTTGACAATAAAATACACATCAAGTTTTGATACAAAGAGGTTTTCTTAGAATGATAGTGATACAAGGTGAGACTAGGAGGCAAGGATGGTTACTAATGCTGCTGCTTTCTGTGCATGTACTTTACTATTGTAATGCATGGCCAAGGTGAGAGTGTTGAAGGTAGGATAATGGCAAAGTCTGCAAAAGTAGGGAAAGTAGCAGGGTTCATTGTCAAGCTCCTCGGATGAAGGCACCATGTCCAAAAACTGCTTGACAGCGGACCAAATGAACATCCACATGGGGTCAAATTTTGATATAATTGTAGTAACCGTTAGATAATTACAGAGGCAAAGTTGAGAGAAGGAGGCAAGGATGCTTA